AATGTTATAAGTATTTAGAATTTCTTTTTATCTTTTTTATCTTCTGATATATTTTTTTTGTTATTGAATATTTATATTAACATTTTTAGGCTATACAGTTTACAGATATTAAATAATTAATGTACCTACTTTGCTAAAAATTCTAATTTCATTTTTCAATTTTAAGTTAAATGGTTTTTTTTAGATTTAAGTTTTAAAGCTAGTTTTATTTAAATTTGTAAAAAGTTAACATTTAAATAAATATAATTAAGTATAAAAAAAAAATTAAAATAAGATTAAATTGATTAAAAATTGGAGTTATGTAATAAACATAAACTAAGACATTATTGGTTATTAGTGTCAATTATGAGCTATTTCTAAAGTGTAAGATTTCATAATTATATTATTTCTGAGAAATTCAAAGCTAAATAGTTGCCATGAAAATATAATAAGGAAGTTAATATTATGTTAGCATATTATCTAATTTTGGCACTCGTTTCTATCCAATATGTTTTACAAACTATATTTTTTCCAATGATTAAACGCACTTAAAATATTAAAATTATTTTTATATTCTATTAGAAATAAAATAATAAAGTAGGAAGTAAATAATTTAATAACTTTTTTTATACTAATATGATGTTATAACTAAATCATTAATAATTTGTTGTTACATAGTAGGTAATGAAATAATAAATTTAAAAAATACATCATTTTATTACTATTACTGCTTGATATTATTTTTAATAATAATAAATTTTAGTGTAATTTATAAATTGATAAATAGTTCAAAGGTTTAAAAAATAAAATACATAAAAGATCAAATACAATAAAATATTTACCTGTTTTTAAGCCATAGTTCACAGTAATATTAACCACTAATGAATAATTTTCAAATATTCTTGATAATTAAATTCAATGCTATAAATTATTGCTTATATTAAAAATATGATTATACCAATATTAATTATAAATAAGCGTAAATTAAGTTAATGAATATTTAAAATAATTTAATTATTTAAATTATGCTAATAACGTTTATTATAATTTTGTATTTTATAGGTGTATTCGAATCATGTGACAGCTTATCAAAAGATTACAAAGAAAAAGCGCTAACACTATTAAAAAAATATCGACCAATTGAAGATAACACACAAATGACAGTTGCACAAAAGTTACCATTTATTGAAGAATGGTGGCAACAAAGTGAACTTTTGTTGAAAGGCCTGTGTTTCCAGTATGAAGATATTAAAAAGTCTATCGAAAAAGCTGACCTTCATCTTAGGTAGATTTTAATTTGTGTTTTGATAAATCTAATGGTGATTTAAGTATTATATTTTATATTATAAAATATAATATTAATAATTAGTAATTAAATATTTTTATATTTTTAAGTTTCATGTAGTATACTGAATAAGTCAATTAATTCCACCAAATTTATCAATCATAAATCACAATAAGTGTATGTTTAATTAAATTTTTTATAGTATTATTATTATTCATTACAAAACCATTGTTATATTTAACAATGTAATTTAATTTATATAAGATATTAATCAAATATTTTATTTTATGTATAAAGTATTATATATATTAGATGCTACACAAACTTGTTTATTCAGACAAACATTGATAGAAACAGTTATATAGCATAAAAAGTAGGTCTAAGATCAATATAAAACTTATTGATATCTGAACTAATGTATGAATTAAAATATTATTTGTTTTTTTTTAGTAGAGAATTTGTTTTAAAGTACAAGTATTGTAATTTTTAATAATAAATATCATTAGTAATAATAAAATGTAACATATTAACTTTATTTTTATTTCAGAGTAAAATTTTTTAAAATATTTGTAATTATTTTTTAGAGATGGTTGTGCTGAAGCTTTTAACAAATTATACAACAAAAAAATACCTACCATTGTTTTATCTGCTGGCATTGGTGATGTCGTTGAACTCATACTTATGCATGAAAATTTGCTAACTGATAATGTAACAGTTGTATCAAATTTTTTAAAAATGTCTAAAGACAATAATGGCTTATCTACAATTGAAGGGTTTAAAGGAGAAAAACTTATACATGTGTTTAACAAAAATGAACATGCATACATTGATACACATCAAAATGTAAAAGTAATAACAAATATTAATTACTTATATGACATAAAATTGTTTTTTTTTTCAGGATACGCATTTAAGTGGAAGGTCCAATGTTATCCTTTTAGGTGATTCATTAGGAGATGCAAACATGGATGGTGGTATTCCATATGATACTGTACTACGTATAGGATTTTTGAACGCCAATTTGGTAATTGCATATATTTTGTATATTATAAATAATTTAAATAAATATTGTTTTTCAACATTATATAATATTACATTAATTACAGATGGAACACGATGATGGTTATTTGCAACAATATAAACTTGCTTTTGACATAGTTTTAGTTCAAGATCAAACGATGGGATTGCTAAATTATGTGTTGGATGAAATAATCGGAGAAATATCAACACCATCAAATAAAAGATAATATGAAGATACAACAAAGTGGCTATTACTAATACTAAAAAATCAAATTACATGTATATTATTTACATTTTACATATTTATAAAATACAATAACTAATCTGTTATAACATTTATCTTAGAAAATAAACTAAAATAATATAAATTGAATAGATTCATTATTTAAATTTTAAGGTAATGAAGCTATAATTTGGCAATCAAATAAAATTATTTTGTGTTGAAATTTAAAATTGATTATTTATAGTATTAAAATTACTCACACACATAAAGAAAAAAAAACTTAAACAGTATTTTAATATGACTTCAACAACAACAAAATATATAAATGAAAACAAAAATATTTTATGTAACAATACAAATTTAAAGCAATAAAATAAAATATTATGACAATAATAATTTAAAATATACTAAAAATTAAACTACATTTTATCTAATAAAACATTTTATACAAATATTAAAAGAAAATGAGGTTATACCCTAAAAATATTACCATTTTTTGTCATATAACTGCGAACACCTAAAAAAATTAAATATAAAATCATTAATAGAATTTATACTAAAAAAACTAAAAATTGTATTCTACTATTTTGATTTACCTGTGGTTTCGCTAACTCCACCTATACCTAACATAGTTACTTGATCAAGTAGAGTAGCAAGTGAACCAGGCAATGTCGCTTTGGATTTGACCATAACTATTGGCTTAGGTTTCTTTGCTGTCTGTGTGTGCCAAACCAAAATCTGTAACAATCATATATTTGTGATAAAATTATAATAATATAAAACAAAAGCTGAATAATTTTAAATAACCAAACTGTGATGAACTGACAAACTTAAATAATTTTTTAATGATATCTTCCATGTTTATTATTTCTATTTTGTTTATAGGTACAATATGAAAAAATATTTTCATCTTTTTATAGGTATTTCTATGGTTTGATAATTATATAAACCATTTACATTTATTTAATTACCTTTTAAAATAAATTATGCAATATAAGTAGGTAGTTAGTGTAAATTATAAATAAATAATATAAACAGAGAGAAAAATGCATATAATTAATAAACATAAGAAAGTTGTACAAATAAAATTTAAGAATTAAAAATATATAAATAACTGTTTAACATAATAAATATTTTATTATAAATATTTTTAATGTTAGCTTATAATAAAATGTAAGATAATCATTCTAAATCATCAAATTCATTTAAATTCAAAATAAAATAAAAATATATACATCTTTTGAAAGCTATTATTGCTAACTTTATAAACCTATATTAAATAATTAATATGTAATTTATTATTTATACAAACCTTTGTGCAATTTTCTGCTTTTGGTTCAATTTCATCTAATCGAATAGCCAGTGCTGATAGAAACCGGTCTTCTTCAAAACCCGCCTTATATGGCATAGTTGCATAAGGATATTTGAATAAAAGTTGAACATTAATAGCAAATCCAGCCATGTCTACTGGAAATTTTCTTTTTGCTGGCCAGCTATCAAAAAAGCCAACTACTTTGCCCTTAACACATAAAGGATTTATAAGTAATTTAGTCTATTAGATGCAATGTGTACAATTAATAATTGTACATATTTACATATCTGTATAATTATATTATAGTCTGTAACTAATGTAGTCGAGAAATTATGGTAAACTAACTTTATCAATGATCGGTGAACTAACACCATACTCTCCAACCAAGCCAACCGGGAACATTGATATTTTCTTTGTGGTACGTATTTCCTTAAAAAGATCCAGATGGAACGTGTTGTCATCATCGCCAAAATAAATGACAGCGTTCGAGTCACTAACGTTGTGATTCAGTCTTATCCAGTTGAGAGCAGCTCTACGGTTGGAAACACCACGGGGCATGGCATCAGGGTCGCGTTTATATATCGAGGGCATAGGGCTGGCAATATAAGTGTAAGGAATGCCTGAAAAATTATCAATCATGAGTCGAATAAAATATAATAATATTTTGAATGCCACGAGTTTTATAAGTATTAATATTGGTTGCAGCGATTAAATGAGCCGGGGGTAAAAATATACACAGGGCCACTACATATTTAAGTTATAAGACAGGTTCACAAGAAATAGATACATCATACATAATATTGTTAACTAGTTACTACGTCTATTTTCTAGTTATAATTTAAATAAAAACTACTTATCATTTACTTATTTGTGGATTTTTACTATAGGTACCTAAGTGAAAAGATGTAAGTACTGGGTACCTACTCGAGTATTTAATTAGGTACTTTAAAATCTAACTAGTTTATTTATTTTTATTTATAATAATTGTATGCATTTACAAGCTTTTAAAGTTCAGTTCCAAATTGTTAATAAAATAATACTATAAATTGACAATAAAATGTCATAAATTAAAATTATAAATTCATGAATTTCAGAAACTAAGTTTTACTATTATCACTGTGTACAATAGATTGCATGTTATAATTATTTTGAATTTTGATGGTTAAAAATGAATTATTGGTTCTAATTTTTATATTTTCTTGGCCACTATTAAAACTTTACGACCGGGCAACATAATATTATCATTGAATATTATTCTCACTGAAATCTGGTAGTAGATTCATTATTTGTAGACTGCAGTCGGGTCGATCATCGGCTACTATCCAGTAAAGTCGGGAGACGTGCATTAGTGTCTGACCTAATCTGGTGAGCTCGGCAATTTGCTCTCGTCGTGGATATGTTGGCGTAATGAAATAAATGAGAGTAGTATCGTTCCCTCTGACGCCGTTACGGGCAGTGTCACTCTCCCCCCCATCGTTATTGTGGTTATTTGCCGGGTTTTTATTGACGATACTGCTTGTGCTGTCAACTGTTTGTCGCCGATTGCGGTTAAATGTGTCCTGTAAAAATAAAACAAATAAATAATTATTACTATTTTCACAAATCCCAAATAGTAATGTACTTAAGACTTTTATAATATTTAAACCTAGGCCGTCCAATACATAAAGAAAAAAAATAAAAATAAATCGCCAACGTATATTAAGTACACTATTTCACTAATACATCTGTAAAAAATAAAAACCTTCACATAAAACTGCTAATATAAAAAACATTTCTAGAATCCATTTGGACTTACGAGCTCTGGTATAGTGCAAAGAAATCAAGTATCTATAAACACAATTCAAATTTTTCAAAATATTTGCCTCGGAATGATAACTAACGTCCAAAGCTAAAATTTTTCATGACAAACTTTCTTTTCATCCCAACCCTCTTGTAAAAAAAAATTATCAACCTTATCCATTCCAGGAAATCTTATACAGGAACTCATTGGTGATTTTATTGAATTTAATCGTAGCATTTTGGACATCAGTAAATCACATTTTATTACGAACAATTTCATTTTTATTTTTCATTATTGATTGACAATAGCAAAGAGTTGTACCACTTTTTTAAACATTTTTTGTTGATTTTGTCAATAAATAAAATTATTATTGTACAGAACTAAAAGAAAACAAATAATGTGACGTTAGATATAAACCAAGTACCACTGTAGTTTAATCAAAAAATAAATAAAACTATAGTTTCTATAAATATTTAAATATTTTTTATTTTACATCGACCAAACAGCTATCTGTATTCTATAAAGTTTAAAATAAAGTTTTCATAAACGAACAAAGTATTATCATATAAACATATTCGACACAACTATTTACCTTTTGGCTTTTTTTATTAATCTTATACATCAATATTTATTCAAAACTTAGGTATGAATATAAAAAAAATATTTTAGAAATTTTTAACTGTAAAATGATTTTACATTTTGACGAATTTTATCAAAATTCTAAATTTAAACATATTATATAAGAAAAAATTTGTAACTAAATACCTAGGTATTTTCAATTTGTTTTGATTAGTATACAAACAAATTATGAAGAACCTTTTATTAATTCGAGATTTTTGACCGAGTAAGACACTTTTGCGTTTAAAATTTCATACAACTAGTAAAAGCTACATGAGCACAAGTTAAAATAAATACCAAGTGTCCTGGTAGGTACTACTGTCCTAGGCATAGGCAATATCTTCAATTTTATCCGAAAAAGTTAAATTGTGACATTTTTATAATCGTTAGATATTATTTGTATAGATAAGTAATGGATTTTTCGCACTTACCCTTAGTTACCTATTAGATAAAAAAAAAAAAAAAATATTAATTATATAACATTTATTTTGTAATTAAACGTAATTGAATACTATCGTAATTTTATTTTTTATAAACTATTAGGCCTTAATGAGAAAAACTGATATGAAAGTAATAATTTTAATAACATAAATAATTAGTGTTTCAATTATGCTTTTTTTATTTGATTTTATTAACGGGTCCTTTTTTTTCCGTTATCACGGATGGATTGTTATAGCATTATCACAATTACAAAAATAAAAATTTCCGATTATCAGAAGCTTTTCTCGGATACCCAAAGTTAAGGCATGGCTACGTACGAGTATGCTGCACAAAAATTTAACAACTCTTCTTCAATAGATATTATACACCGAAAAAGATATCAATATCAAGAACGTTATTGATACATTTGCTAATCAAAATAGGTTTATTTTACTAAAATAATAAAATATTTATTGTATTATAAATTAATGATTTTTAAAGTGCATAATAATATGTAGTTAGTGACGCATTTAGAAGTTTTCCTTTTTAATTAGTTATTTAATAGCAAATGAATATTAAATAAAATATTGTTAATTGTTATTAAAGAGAGAGTGGGGACAAACGCCTACAGCTTGTTTTTCAAAGAGAGATTTAAGCCTCCCTTCCCTAAAATTCAATCAAATATCTGTCATAGTCCTAGGTACTTAATGATTTTATGATAATTGAACACAATACACAAATTGATCAAATGACCGATTAAAGAAATTTTAAGAAAAAAAAATGTATTACAATACCATTTTCCAAAGAGTGATTTAAAAAAAAAAAAAAAAAATTATAATATTTTATGTTAATCGCGCAACAGCTCTTTGTAGATATTTTGTTAAGTCGTACGTGCACGTGTGATACTAGTGCTAGACGCTAGTACTTCAGTTATAAACATACCTGTAGCACATGATTGATATGTGCGTCCAAGTAGAGGAGTGCTCCACTATGTCATTTATACTACAGTATACATACATTTATAATCTATTACTGAATATTCACCCGAAATACACGCATAAACGAAAAATTTGTTCCACTGAACTCCTTAGAAACGTTGGTATCAAATCCTAAAAAAAATTTAAGTTAATCATTTTTAAATATCGGAGAATTAAATAATTGAATCTCAATTTGAAGTGAATTTTATTATGTACCTAGTAGGTAGGTATTTTAATGATCATAAGGAAAACAATCATTAAAATAAAATTTTACGTACTATGTACTGTAATATATTTATTTTTTTGTTTTACAATTATATATGGTAAATGAAAAATGTATAAAAGAAATATTATAGGTAGTTGAAATATTTTTCTATTTTGAATGATTGTGAAAGGTATTTATTAAATTGTTAAAATGCTTACCTACGTACTTAATTGAAATTTTACCTAGAAAGATATTAGGTCATCATTATTATAGACTCTCGAGATCTCTAAAGACAATTAAAATTATATAAAACCGTACGCATTAAATGACAAATTACTCAACAAACGCCCAACAACTAAAGTTCCTACCCAGATCTTTAAATAAACAATTAAAAATATGTATAGAAGTATTTTGTTTATTTTATATTTCTTTTTATAGTAAAAATTATCACTTTCAAATATATATCTTATTAAGTTCTTTAATTAATGAAAATCTTTTAAAATTAATTTTTTTTTTTTTTGCAAATGTATTTATAAATATTAAATATAGTCTATATTATTATGTAATATGTTGTCAGTTTACATAATATATACAGTTATAGCATAACCAGTATATAGTTTATTCTAATTAATACTTAATTACTAATTAGTATAGAATACTGTATTACTTTTTTCGATCATTGTGACTTTGATTGCCATAATTAAACATTTTTACTTTATATAAATATATAATATCATATTATTAATTATATAAAAATAACTATACTATTTAACGATAGTTATTATTTTAAGATTTAATTTTTTAGATTCTGAGTAAAGTGATGTATTGGTATTATTCTATGATATGTATTATTATAATTATTAGATGTGTATGTATACATGATAGTCGATAGGTAGTCAAAAAATGCTTTGATTTTCAACTTCGAAGGTGGTTTCTAATAGTAAGTTGGATCTAGTTTGTTCTAAATAAAGGTTGAAATTCTCAGTATTTTTTCAAAATAATCGAAAAAAACAATCAAAAGTAAATGAAAACGAAAATTTTTAGAATTTAGTTTTACTTAAATTAAAGTTTTTTTTACACAAATTTGAAATAAATTGACACTTGTATTTTTTTTCATAGCTTTTTATTTTTTTTAAGTTGTCTACGTTTTTTCAGTTAAATTTAATTGTTCGTCATTTGAAACCATACCTTTTTCTCTCTGAGACATTAGAAATTGTCCTTCTTTAAATTCGGATAAAATTGTCATAAGAACTAGAGTTTCACCACGAGCAATGTAAAAAATGTCATCTAAAGATTCTATAAATTAATTTCCATTATTATTTTTATTATTGATTTATTATTGCGAGTTTTTCTACAATGGCTGGTAAGTATTAAGAATATATTTTATTTTAATTAAAATATGACAATCTAATGTAGTTGGTAGGTATTCTTACATTTTTTCAAAAAAAACTTTTACTTCCTCAAAAAATAATTTTTTACTATAACGTATTGTATTTTTTTCTTTTAAACACAACTAATAAAATCTTCCTAACATCTATAAGTTGATGGCATGGCTAGTAACTTTAATATTTCTACTAGATTACCTCAACTTAATATATATTATTGTAATTTTTTGTTGTACTATTAATGCAATTTTAACTAGCCATATTTGATAATTAGAAAAGATTTTTTTTGTTGTATAAAATTCAAATATATAACATGGTATAAAAATAAAATAGTCTATAAATTCTAAGGTTATAATCTAAATAAGTACCTAATATTTAATAATATGCATAATATATTCTATATTATAAATAGTTCTACGGTGACCATGAATAAGACTATAAATAATAGCTGTAATTAAAAGTACTCATCAAACAATTAAATAAAAATGGATATTTTTATAAAAGTATTAAATTCTTCATTATGACAAAAAAATAATAGTTACAGTAGAAATGTTACAATAATTAAACATCCTTATACTCGTATAAAAGAACAGCCCTTTTTTATGTTCTCGTTTTGTGACGACACTATTTAACATTTTTCCAATTATTTTTCACTGAGTTTTACCAAATACTCCTACGAGTGATCATTATATTTTTGTTTTATTTATAATTAAAAAAATGTGGATTATAATTATTAATTACCGTCAGTGATTGCAAATAATAGTAGGAGCACCAGTATCGTAAGTTTAGTAGTAATATTGCAGTCATATACAGGAAAATTGACTGAACCACACAATATTAATGTGGATATTATAAAAAAAACGTTAGTTAAAAAAAGAGATCTAATTAATTTTTACACCATTCATTTAAACATTTTGAGTTTTTTGTAACTATATTAGGTAATCAAATTTGAAATGGTTAAGTTTAATTGAAAATTACTTTTCCTGTTTATTAAATTTTAACTCTTAAATTCTTCAAAAACAAGTCTAAAACGCCGGGATCTAATCCTTTTAAGATTTATAATAGTAGTAAGGTACTAACTATTAAATATTATGTATTATAAATACATAGAATTCCCTAGTTTATTTTTTAAATTTAAATTAGGACATAAATCGTCTGTACTTAAATGTATAATAAGAGTATATTAGTTCTTAATAGTAAGGAATTAAACAAAGCTATGTGTACGCCAGTGTAGTCAATAATTGTTAGCTAAAACGTTAAAATAAGGATAATAACATTAATAACATGTCTGTATTTTTTTTAATTTTTCTGACTAGAGGGGGTATAAGGCAAAAATAAAGGCGGTACCGTATCTTTACTCAAATTCGTTCTTCATCGTTTAACACGGAATTAAAATTTAACACATCCATTACTGACATTACTACAGAATTTATTTAATGACGAGGTACACTAAACACCTATACTATATATACAACAGAACTAACTTTTTACTATGAAGGTGTATAATTAAGTATTTGCATTGTAAATCTAATATATGTATATTATATATATAGAATTGTATATTCATCAAACCTTACGTGAAAAGTTGTCAAAATCGATGTTACCTTTACATATATTGTCTCTGTCTTATAAAATGTACAAAATAGCAAATTTACGTTCAAACTGTTCAGTAGAACCGACTTTGAAATGTTAGTTTTAGTATTTGAATGAATTGACCTATTATTTAAGTTTAAGTCAAGTTTAAGTTTTTAACTTCTAATATTTATAATACCTACTCAAACCTATCTTAAAAGTTAAAATATCGAAAGAAGCTAAACGCTTAAGCATAAATAATGTTCTTATCTTTAACATTGATAATATATATTTTTATTGTAATATTAAAGCTAACAACACACAATTGTATTGGTTTTATAATTGAAAGCAAATTGTTTGTGTTACATGTTTGTGAAACGGAGACAACACGTCATGCGTAGATAGAGTTATCTTAATATACATACTTAAACACTTTAATAGTTCATAATATTTGTTATTAATATTATATACCAAATTCTTAAATTGTAATCACCACCGATACGCTCAGCGAGTTCTATAATATAGGTAAAGCTACAAAGGCAAACATTAGTTGGTTAGGTTACAGTTATCTTTTATAAAAATTAGCTGCGTTTCGTGAGCGTACTTATTTTAAAATTTTTTAAATATTTATTGGAGGTAGATCTGTGTATTGTATTGATTACACGATATATTAAATATTTTATGAATAATATAATAATAATAATGTATGATGAAATACATTAAACATTTTCCATCATTATTAAAAAAAAAAAATACATAATTAAACGATGTAGATAAAATGTTTATTAGACACAAGTTTATAATAATTTATTACTTAATTAACTAGATGTGATAAAACGAAAATCTTTTTTTAATAAAGTAGTATTTTTTTTTTTTATATGTATAATAAACGGTAAATTGACAATTTTGTTTTCGGATTATTCATAATTATATTTAAGTATTTTTCTTGTACCACCGCTCTCCCAATATTTGTTATTACTTAACCAGCAGTAAGAGTAGTTTACTTGGCTATTCGACTATTATGCAAACATTAACATACTTGTCAAGTACATTATAGTCATCGGAACACATTATTCGTAAAATATTTGCTAATTTGCTGAGAATTCAATTATTGGCGTGCATTCCTAATATATGTATAATACACCAGTCGAGAAAACCCAGCTAAATTGTGTCCTGGAATGAATAAATAGCTAGGTATCTACAAGTACTTTAGTAGATTTTACGATTCTCGTTTGATAAAAACTCCATTATTTTTGTAGAAAAACATACAACTTGAATTTTTCTGTTTGTCACATCCAACGCAAATAATTATGATAATAATTATTATTATACCTATAAATATTATTGTTTATCATATGTATAATTTGTAAGTTATATAATTATACGTGTTGTCACGGCAGAATAACGCCACTGACACACCGGTATCGTTGAAAAAACCCAAAATCAAAACAATAACTACTGAATGCTTTAGATAGAATCTGCAGTGTGATGATTCGCACACCTTATAATAACTATATAACTAAAACATACCGAGTCGTAAATAACTACAATGATAAATTATTCATTTTTCCCACCTGCTACAAAACTGTATATTATTTCGTTTGAAGCGTCGCGTAATCGACCGTCACTTCTTTTTCGTTTCTCGGCCTTGAAAGACCAGCTTTGTTCACTTTACTGTAATCCAGTCCTCTAGTTGTCGGTTTTTTTTTTGTTTTTTTTTTAATATAATGGATCTTTCCGTCGGTGAGCCAAAATTGGTATCGGTGATTTTCATTTTTTAAATGGAAATGATACGATCATTCATTATCTGTCCGATTTGTTTCTTTAATTTTAATTTTTATATGATTATTATGTTTTAGATTATGTAATGTTTTAACTAGACGTCTACAAGGCCCACGCTCGAAGTTTTTCGTAATCTATTTCCTATACAGGCTGTTATTATGATTATTATGGTCAATTACCCCGTTAAAACCGTGAGAATTAGTGTTATATATATATATATATATATACATGATTATAATAACTGATTTGAATATTTTTTTGAATCTATTTTATTTCTCTTAGCCTTAGTTTAATGTCATTCAAATTCTTAGAGCTAAATTTAATTTTTATAAACCTATCTATTCAAACAAATAATTTGATTAGAATGATTATTTTTTTTCTCTCTCTCAGTTCACACCTAATTTTCTTGTTTTCGGGCTCATGAAAACAACTTTATCGATTCGAAACATAATAATATATAAGAACAAAAACCCATTGTGCTTCGACTCTACGAGGCTTCGATTCGTTTGCGACTCGACTTAAGAAACATATGAAATGAAACATGGCGAGCGCGTTTCATATTTTATTCTTTAAGGCCAATATTAAATTTATTACCTCGAAAATTAGTATAAACGACCGCAGGGAATAATAGTATAGCATTAAAATATCGCGTATACAAATAACCGTTTAAACTTAACGTGACTTTACATTTTGTAATTAAAATTTAAACCAAGAATATAATATAATGCTACATCAACGCATCTTCTATGACGATATTTATAAAACGTCTTAAAAGACGGTTATTAAAATTCTCCATGTGGTTCAGTGCGGGTGACCAGCAATCGCTCTGAATTGATTTTGTGGTTTCGTAATTAACCAGCCGATCGCACACCGTCTCCGTGTTTCATGTCGTGTTTTTATAGCGCAGTCTCGATTCGTCAAACCACGGATTCGATACCGGATAAACGTATGGGTACCAAATGGTGGTGATGACATCATGCAGTTCTTACTTACCTAACCAAACGTAACCGCGAAGTAAAAATAAATAGACGTTTAAAGCGCATAAAGTCGGGTGGCGTTTAAAAAAGTTTGATAAAATCGAGATAACAGGTACCTATTGGTATACACAACGGGCGACCAAGAAAATCGGATACGGCCAAAACACGAACACCACGACACGGCACGAAACACGGAGATATTGTTATATGCAGTCGTCAGCCGGTCCGGTCGTTTCGCGGACCCGAGTAAAAATGATTACCTATTCGCGTGAAACAAGAACGATGATAATATTACGACCTAAGCCGTGACGACGGCGAAAGCGCGATAGGCGGTAACGACGCGGTTGTCGATGACGTACGCGTAACGGCACGCGTTCCTCGTCAATAACGACCCCGAAGTCTACGACGCTTTTGCGCGACGTTTGAAGATTTCGAATTTGTCGGATTTCCTCCGCGCGAAACGAAACGAAAATCGAAAATATTCGTATCGTCGACGTTTGCAAACATTGCGCTGTACCTATACGTTCTTTTATCATATTTTGTGCTACGAATCACGAAATTCGCAGGCAGCTAGGTACTCACCCGGTCGGCGGGGCTGCGCAGGTGGTCGCGGATTTCGCACACGGCGTACAGCTTGGACGTGCGCGGCATCGAAGAGTCGACCGACTTGGACCGGTTCGGGCCGCTGTCCGCGGCCGCGGCGTTGGCCGGTTCTTTCAGCAGCGACGCGGACGACTGCGGGGCCACCGCGCAACACGCGGTCGCCGCGTTGAAGTAAAACGCCGCGGTGACCGTGGACACGGTGGCCACGGCCAGCAACATCACCGCGGCGGTCTTCCACGTCTTCTTCACGTGCATGGCCGTCGGCCGGACGACGCCGGTCTTGCAAGCGCTGCTGCTGCTGCTGTTGTTGTTGTTGTTGTGGTGGTTGTTACATCGGCCCGACGACGGTGCGTGCAGTTGCGTTTTGATTCCGCACCTGTAGCCGTTGTTGCTGACGTAACCGTTGTTGCTGTTGTAACCGTTGTTGCCGTTGTAACCGTTGTCGCTGTTGTTGCTGCTGCTGCTTCCGCAGCTTCCGCTGTATCGGCGGTCTGTCATGATAACGCCGTCATCGGCGCGGCGAACCGGAAGTTGTCGGGACTACGCCAGAAGACTGTTGACCGGAGACCGTTGGGGCGACCACGCGTGGGGTACCGGGAGACGGGCCTGAGTGGCTGTAACAACTACAGCTGTCGTCGCGGGAGGCGTGCTGCAGTAGTCGTCGGTGATTGAAGTGCGGCGACGGCGGCGGTGACATGACTGCCGGACGATCACCGCGCCGCGTATTGCTGGCACGCAAACGATTCCTCACCTAGAACACGTGAAAATCAGAACCTTGGTATACGAGTGTCTACGGACGTCGCGGTATAGACTGTAGGTATACCTATGCAGTCTATACCTGCAGACCTGACGTTAACTATCCCGATAGTACGATATTACCACGTCGAAGCGTCACGTCACGACCATTTCTAGGTCAAGTACGCATTCCGGCTGTATATATCAAGTAGAGGGGAACGTATCGTATGTTCCGCAACGCGTAAGCGAACTCTCGCGTGGTCTATGGGTACATCGGAAATGTCTGAATAATTGTCTAATCGATGTAATATTATATATTATTATGGCCGAACATATAATAGGTACACAGATTGCACATATTGAGGCCAGTGTTTTTTTGGGGGGGGGGAGGCCAGGGTGATGAGCGGTAGCCTTCGTCTCAAGTGGGAACCTAAGACCTAGGTGGTAAATTTCTATGTGTTTTTCCTCAAAACATGATGTATTAACGTACGCGTAGGTACCTATACCTATTGTCGATTTGTAGGTGGAAATTTAAAAATGAAATATAACCGTTATCGTTATTGCTATTAAAAGTGGTATGAAAGTTTGTATAACCAAACACGCGAATGGTACCATTATATAACTGTTATATATATATATATATAAATTACATTAATACCTGTCATGTGAAAAATTTATATTTAAGTAAAATACCCTCGCACATTATGCGCGCAATGGTAGCTAAAAAATCTAGGAATGATAGGAATTCCATATTTATTGAACATTGTATCATTGTGGTGGTGGCAATCATAACCTGGATGTTATAAAGTAATATAATTATAATATAATATGATGCAATACTTAAGGAACGTTTAAAACTCTAATTAAATACGTCTTGAAGTACTATCCCCAGCAACCCTCTAAGGAGATTAAAAAGAAAATGATCAAGATGACGCTCTTGCCTAATAGAAAAAAAACGGTCTTTTCACATGAACCCACCAAATTAAACATGAGGTACTGTTGATGGATGGTTTTCCCCCTCAAACTAACCAAGTCATCTTTATTATTACTATATTATCGAATTTACTTATTATAATTTTTTGAATAGATTATAAATGTGCTTTTATGAATGAAAAAAAAAAATAAAATATGAAACAAGGTCCGCTGTGATGATAGAACATGACTTAAAAAATAATATTCGAAATTCCTGTCCAAAAGAAAATTTTTGTTACTATACTTTGCTCTAAGCCTTTTTTTTCAAATCTAAGATTACAGCAGAAATAGCTCATTACACTGAATTATTCCCTCAGAGAATATAATACTCACCTAACTATTTATTAGGTAGAAAGAAGCAATAACAACATGTTGTACAGTGGCAATTGACCTAGCGAGCGTCCGATGCAGTTAATAGGTTTTTGATTTTCATAATTTCTGTTAATAGTAACCATAGACATATTGTATAATGTGTAATATTATAATCGTATATTCGTATATACCTACCAATCGCGTTGTGATATATAATAAATTTGTGGGTTTGCCTTTGCCTACGGGCTTCGGCCTATATAATATTGTTGTTACCTATAATTAATCAGTAGTTGCAAGTAGTTTTCAACAACCTAGTTAGGTGGAATGAGAAAACAGGTCAGTGGAATCAGTGGATAATTTCATTTTTCAAAAACTTTTATATTTTGAGAAATAGTTTGATTCATTTAAATTTTAAATATATTTCACTATAAAAATAAACAATTTCAAGTCGGCCATTTACGATTTTTCAAAAAAAAAATCTCATTATTACAAATTTAGTATCCACGTTATCTAAATGTTAATTTTTGATCATCGATAGGGTTATAATGATTAATTAATTATTTTCAGAGATATTTGATTTATTACTTAAGAAATGGTTATCCAATCATACCCTCTATATTGTTTATCTATATTAGAATATGATAAACAATATTGATTAATATGTTTAAGTTTTATTTTTTTATTGATCTTAAGGTACATTGACAATTTGGTCATTAGTATATGTACCTACTATGTACATTTAGTAATTTATATATTTTTTTTTTATCAAATTGCTTTGTATGCTTCAGAATTTAATATTTCAGTTTTTATTCATTGAATTAACTATTTAAAATGTTATTATTTGAAATATTATGATATTTGTTAAGTATTAAGTTTGATACTTTCCAATGTGACTTGTAGGTCATCTATCCAACTCGATAGAAATTATTAAGCGCAATCAAATTTTAACTATAACTTAAACAGTCAACACTCAACAAAAACTGACATTTACAAAAACCATCTTCTCACAGGGCATTTCATTTAAATACTAGTGAAATGGATTGACGTGGAGTTCAGTGTATAGCTATTAGCTATACATAAAATTAAAGTATATATTTTGTTTGGTCTGACGTTTTGATCGTAAATCTGTTCGCTAACGCCAGCTGCAGTGTACCTACATAACAATTCATATGGTATTGCAATGTTAGCCATGCTACGAAATACCGACAAAACAGCAATTCCACAGCTATATAATATTATTACAACGTTGTACAGGAAATTGTAAGCATTTAATGTATTTATTATGAGTGTGTGTGTGTGTGTGTGTGTGTGTGTTTGTTAGTGCCAGTAATAGCTAATAGTTCTATAGCACTCATATATTGTACGAATCATCGTTTTTAGCACATAGCATATTTGACGATGAACAAATTCTAATACAGCGGGCATTAAAAATAATTAAAAATATCCCGCGTTAGGGATCGAATATTCGTAATTTTACTCCAACAATTACATAGAGAAAGCGATGACAGATTTATATTTATTGTATGGACGCAGTGTCACCTGGGGGAAGGCAGAGAGAGCTGGTGGTACAAATGTAATACCTGAGAAAATATTTTTTAATAATTAAGACTTTTCATAAAAATAATAAAATGTAAAATTCCTTCTTTATTCATTTATAATTTATGTTTAAGAATATAGCCAAATTAGAAAAACCAAACTTAGTATGAAAAATTACTGACGTCTAATGTAACTACAGTAATGAAAGAACAGAAATACCACATGTCTATTAATTTATTTATTTTAATCACTAATGATATTATTAATTTCGCTATCTGTGTATTATATTGACCGTTACCGGTGGTGCACTACTATGGGTATATTATGTTCGAGTAACTAGTTATAATATATTGTTGTGTACAGTATATAGTATATAAATGGAGTATAATAGTTTTAATATTCATTAATAAAGGTATGTAAATAAAGAATTTTTCGAACAACAAATAAAAGACATTATTGGCAAGATTAGATTGAGTTCTAGGTGTTGGGTTTTTCAATGACTGATAATGTGCATAATGTAAATAAGAAAATAACTTTTCTTAGAACTGATAAATTAAATTAAGTGTTTTAAATATATGATGTTATACTTATCAATTATCATTGGTGATTGATGTGTAAAGATTCCATAAAAATTTAGAATTAGGGAGGTACACTTAAAATATTTTTCATCTAGTCAGTTATTTTTCTGTAGAAGTACCCATATGGGGGTGTATCCCAGAGCTTTATTTCAAAGGGGAAGCGAGAGTTACAGGTAAAAATAATAAGTATAACACAAGGTAAAAAATATTGAAAACAATTAAAAAAAAATATTTATGTATACTGAGTGTTTCAATACGAAAAAATATTGAGATTTATAATTTTAGGGTACATTTTTTACTCATTTCCGTGTTGCTATTTGATTTATGTTCTAAGCAATAATAAATATATTTATTTTACAATGATGATGTGTTCTATTATTATTATTTAATAGAAAATTGGTTCAAGTATTGAGTGGATACTTATTGAATGCGAAAATTTCAATCATTTTTAATATAATTGGGAAAAACTAAAAAAATAACTGCAGCAAAACAGAATATTTACACAACACAAATTTTTGACAAAACCTATTTTATCATAGGTAATTCCAAAATGAATTAATAGATAAACTGTATATACGTGAAATGCTCACCAAATATTTATGATACCATTTTATAGTTTTAGAAGTAGTTGAACTATTTATAGAAATTTAAAATTTGAACAGGATTTTACTATTTTATCATTAAAAGCGTTTTATATTCAAATTTCAAACCCATCAAAACGTGGATACTGCTGTTAATAATATATACAGTTTATAATTTTAACCTTATATAATATTCCTTGTAAGTTTTTCTTATTTAAAAAAAAAAATGTAAAAAAGATTTTTATTTTTATGACCATTTAATCGTATTAATTAATAACTAATAAGTAATATCAGCACAGAAGACTTAAAATTATAAAATATTTAAAATAAAAAATTTACGTCATGTGATGCGTTGAACAATTTTCCCGGGAAAGATCTTTTTTAACGTTATTCATGTTAAAATTAAATATATATATACATTATAATATTTCGTTTAAAACAAAACATAATATTATAGCGTACGCGGCCAAAAATAATATCACGCCACGCGACAACCCATGGAATCTAACACTGCGTGCAGAGGTGTTATATATAATGTAATTCACTGTGTCGTGCGACATATAGTGTGCTGTAGTACAGTGTAAGCCAGGACAGTAATGGAAGACCACCACCGGGCTACGAATGACAAGACATTATTAAATAATATATTAGAAATTCTAATACTTATTTCATTTATTTTACTATTTTTGGTACCTACGTATTTGACGATTCGTTTATCGGATTTTATAAGGAGGAAATGTTTTTAAAATTATAATTTTAAACTATCATAATCAAATTAATTTTTTTCCTAATTTGAAAAAAAAATACAAAAATAACCTAAAAGTTGCAATCTATTTATATAGGTACTTCAAAATGTTTTAAAAAGAAACACTTGAACGAGTTGAACGATAACATAAGCTTAAAATTTGTCATCACTTTATAAGTTAATGCATGGTTGAAAATTAAAATAGGTACTCCTATAGTCATTTTTAGGTTGTAAATACGATATACATAAATATATTTCCGAGAAAATGTTGTCAGCATTCAAGTACAATTAGATTAGATTACAAATTAATTTTTCGATTGAAGTTGAAAAAGTTAATGCCCACGAACTACGGAGCACTGTAGATGTGATTTTTATCGTACAATTTATTATGTAAATGGTATAATATATTTTATTGAAACTATAGTATAGGGTTAAGGCAAATTTCCCAATAGTGGCACAGCAGTGGGTCGTCACAAATATTCTCAATCACCTGATTACGTTACAATCTAATAAATATATATACAAGTATATTACTGTTATTACATTATTAAAACATGTCCTATATTATAATTTATAATATGTAAAGGTACCTTGTACACTTTTATTGTACTGTAGCATTGCTTGCGATGTAATGAATAAACGTCGTCGCCGTAATATATAATATTAGAAATCTAAATATTAAGTATTAACTTATAGTGTTAATAGTTAACTGTTAATACTGTTAATAGGTACTCGTACAAAATATGCTATTTACCGTAATATCAAATATTTAACATGCTATAGGTAGGTAGGTATCTATACATTTATTCATTTATATTTTCATAATATATCAGGCGTCTCATTTTCTCACGTTTTCGAAATTCAGCTACAATTGCTACATTTCAATTTAAATTATACCAGTCAACTTTAGTTGGTCTTTTTTAAACACCTTGACTTGTGTTTCCTTTATTTGAAGTAATCAATGTTAGACAAGTTTTACAATATCGCATAAATTTAGACAACTATTACTATTACACTTCCTATTTGTATTCTTAAGTAAAAAATAAAAAAATAATTTTATTTAAAAAATAAAAAAATAATTTTATTTTTTCGTGTTGAGAGAATGTTTGGCACAGTCTTTAGTAAAGTGCTTGAATTATAAATAAACGATTTTCAAAATATTTTCCTTTGGAATCTCGTTTTTTACAATTTTTAAGAACTTATTTTAATTCACCATCGTAAAATATTTCGTTTTTAATTTTAATGTGCGTTTATTCATTATGTAACTAATAAATCACATGTTTTTTAAAAACGTATATCTAAATATTGTTTAATCTACATGACTTACAATCACAGACTAAAAAACTACAACTGCAAAGCGATGAAGTATAGTTATAGGAATAATAAATGAATATTAATCTTTAGTAGATACCTATATTTTTTACCGATAGCATATTATTGTACGAGTACCTACTAATATATATGATGAGTACATTATACATACAGAAGAAATCGTCTATGATGTTTCAGGAAAAATAGGCCATTATAATCAACATTAAAAAAAAAAGTTATCAGTAAACAATACGAGTATACAGTACTATATTTTATTTGCAAAACGTTAACTCTAATTATGTATACTATTAAAAAGTAAAATATATTTTTATTACATATTAATATTTATTTGATAAGTATTGAAAAAAAAATTGTTATTTTAGTTTATAACATAATTTTTTTTAGAAAATAAAAATCATGTATTTTTATTTGTACTTTTTCAAAGTTTATTTTAGAACTTTTATTTTTTAACGGCCATAATATAATTTTACACTGATTATTTATATTGAAAATTATGGTTTTTATTAATCACCGTCGATAATAAAAATATGACCAGTGGTCGTAATAAATAAAACATTTGTCTAAATTCAAGTTATTACATCCTCGCGTATTCAGGTTGTAAGAACGTCATAAAAACCGATAAAAATGTGCACGTTATAAGACTGGTGTTTTGACGGGACCTTTAATTTTAGATCATAAAACCCAGTATGTCACTTCAACCGGTATCATTATAAACAATTTCTACTGTATATATATATATATATATGCATATTGCTGTTTACCGTGTGATCGAATCCCGTAATATTTCCGACGATAAAACGCTGAAAACGGTGGCGGCGAGTAGCGCGCGAAGTTCGCGTCGGTGTTTTCGAGCTTGCGTGTGATTTCGTACACTGTAATATATCACATTGATGTGTGACACGCGTTACAGACAAAAGCCGGCACGGAAGTCTTAGAATACTACTCTTAGACTGGCTACGGTACTTTTACAAAAATTTAATTTCAATTCTTCTGTCATCTTCGCGGGTCGCGGACATCTTGCGGTATTGGTGTGGAATATATATTATGATGAGTATTAAACTGTTATTGTCGTTTATTAATGTATAACTACTATATGACAGGTAACGACGATTAACTTGAACGTCTCCGCCGGGGATCCGGACGGTGTGTGTGATGCGTGTGTGCGCTCGTCTCGCGTATATCGCACTAACTATGATATTATAATAACTGTCTGCTGCACCGCTGTCTATCCGAGTGTGGCTACGGTGCAAGCCGGCGATGGTGTGGGTCTAAAAATAAACCATCACATCTCATCTATACAGGGAGAGAGAGCAAACGGCGGTTGCCGGAGACGATGCTGCGCGTGTACCGGCGGTTGATGACGGTGAGGAGGGATAAAAAATTTGAGAGAGAGATAGATAGATGGATAGATAGATAGACAGAGCGAGTGATAATGAGATGGAAAGAGAGAGGCAAGAGTAGTGTTTTTTACCTACTTTATAGATAGAATAAATACGTTCACGGAGGACATTGTAATACGCGGTGAGTGTATTATTATTATTATTATTATTATTATTATTATTATATATGTTGTTTCGGACGAGAAGCCGCGCTGGGCTGAGGAAGGGAGTCGAGTCTCAGCTGCAGCGCCGTCAGAAGCAACTAGCTATGTATATATAACATGCGGTGGTGGTTCAGTCCGAATAGTCCGATATGCTTTAGCGCTGCGTCTACCGCAATTCTGATACCTATATCGCTATAGACCGTGTACAGTGTATAGATACTTAGCTACCTGTATACGCCATAATATACCTATTATATCGCGCGTATTATTTAACTCGACAATTGCGGTAGAATAATATTTTAATTCAATGCATATCATATATGTGTGTATATTATAAGCCAAGTAGGAAATTTGTCATTCTGAGAAATGCCCGGGCAATGCTCTAGATATGAGTGCCAAGTAAATACATATTATCAGTATTTTTTCGTAGAGTATCTCAAGAGCCCTATCATTATTACACATAAATATATTGAAAAATAGTTTTGAAACCATAAACAAATATAATAGTGAAATATTAAATTATTATAAAAATACATTTATTAATCTTAATTATTTACTTATAGATTCAATTATATTTATTATATTATATTATATTTAAATTACGATATAAAAGTTGCTGAATAACTGAACTCATATTTATTTATCTATTACAATATATTTTATGTACCATTGATTTCCATCATAAAACCGAGTTGTATTATTATTAATTTTCTATTACACTTAAACAGCGGCAACTATAGTGCAGAATATAATATTTTGTCATAAACGAGTGATTTGAAGTGTAAGTACCCTCCACCTGTATTCTTACAATGTGATTTTGGAGCGTCATCCGCACATGTTTAAAAATAAAATACGACAAACAAAATACTGTAATTTTATTCCCAATATTAGTATTGTATCAATAACCAATATCCAATTTTATAATTATGTTATCATCAAAATATGCCATACCTACGATTATAAAAATATAAAATAACAATAAAAAGTAAAAACTAACAAACTATGTGACGTAGTAGTTCGAAACCATCGAACCGTGTGTTATAGAATGTTTAACAATAAAAAAACACTATTGCATTTTGATAATTGGTTACAAATAAAACTTATCGACTATCAGATCGACACACTTAAAATTAATAATGCATAGTTTATTCAATGTTCGTTAGAATTAACGATTGTACATATTATCTGCATAGATAGCGAAATACGTTTTTGCAATTTTTAATCGAATTTTTATTCATGAAGTATGGTACAAAAAATACAAAATGTATGTAAAATAAATAAACATTGTGCCTTATTATAATAAATACCAAAATTTGTGGATATAAATGTCACTACCAATCTACTTACAATAAATTAGTACGTATAATTAATAATATAATATATTAAAATACGGTTAAGCGAAAAAGTCGAATCGCACGTATACGTATTGTTGTTGAACAATTGAACTTACTCTACTTGAAAAAAAGATAATATTCGAACAGAATTTATCAAAAACCATACGCGTACATATATGTTTTTACTAATAAAATGTATAATTTTAATATATAATTAAATCACGGTTTCATCACTTTTAACGATTTGTAAATTACTTGACGACATATATGATAAAACAGTGATGGACGAAATATACTAAAATATTTTACATAATAAACAAGAAATAATACGTATTTTTATTATATCATTAAAATAATTAGTATTTTATGGAATAATTATTGACAAATATCATCATCGATAATTTTGCAAGGCTTTTTCATCATTTTACGTTTAATTCTAATTTATAGTTAAGTCCTTTACAAACTAATTGCAGTTTAATAAAATTAAATTCATAGTCACATATATCTTTACGTACTAAAATTAATGTTAAAAAAATCTATGGAATGATTGAACAATCCTCAAAGTGTAATTTTAAGATTCAATTTTCTGAACTTTAACTTAATTTTAAGATAAAAAGTTTTGCTTTAAATAATTTTAATATAAGTTTATTTGTTCTAATATTAAAGATAACAATACACAATTGGGCTTGAAAAATATATATTGCTCGTGGATCTGTCAAAGAAAACAAACGCGTTGACATCCTCTTAAGAAAAAAAATAACAAGTTTCATTTGCATTCAACCTAATCATTAAGAACAATCATTATTATTCGTGAAAATACTTACTTTTACAAAAATACAAATTGAACGTGCAAAAAAAAAAGTTTACTTTTATATTTTACTTTTAATCATTATGAATAAAAAATATAAAAATACAAGTATACGTGAATAAAATGCTATTTCTTTATCTCGTTTGGGCTGTGTTTCATCTAAAAAAAAGGTAACCAACAAACCTGTCTAATCAACATGCAAATGATAATCACCGAAATAAAATTCTAAAAATATTGATTATACGCCATTGAATTGGTGTCATATTACAGTTAGGTACTTGAAATTTAGTCGTACAAATTCATACTAATATTACGTACTAAATTTTTATTTTAAATTAAAAATTATTTTTTAGGAGAAAGGTTACACATACAATATTGAAGAAGAAAAATAAACTTCATTAAAAAAAATGTGTTTTTAAAAAGAAAAAAAATTTACATTATTTTTTATCAATTAAAAGTTTAAGACTTTTTATCATCGTAAAAATTTTACTAAACCTAGAAAAAATGAAAAGTACAAGATAAATTACTTTTTTAAATATTAAATTTAGCTATTATTAAGTTACAATATTTTATATTTTCTAGTTATATATTATGTCTATTCTATTCTTTATGCTCCAAAGCTTATCTATAGACTTCAATTACAATCATGAGCCAAAAAAGTTTACCAGATTAAAATTATAAAAAAAAACCAGGTAATATGCCAACAAAATTAAAAAAAAAATATTTTTTTTTCAATTTTTAATATTAATAGATTAGAAAACCGTTTTCCGTGTCATACTAGAATATCTTTTCCAACCTTCAAGTCATATAAAAAATAATTAGTTATGAGTTAATGTTTATTATAATTGAGGTAAAAATTAACTCGTTGACACTGTTAGTAAAAATGTCCTGTAAATATGTAATTTTAATTAAGATAACATATTTTATGAACAAAAATAACATAACATTTAACACTGTTATACATTTTTAGTCCATATTAATAATCACTCGCATGATAGTGTTCAGTCACACAGAAACGAACTAACCTATGTACGTATGTAGGTAAATGTATTGAATTTTAAAAATATCTCAGTCCTAAAATTGTGAAAATAATATAAGCAAACGACGAATATTAATCCTTGCCGAGTATATCTGTTACAGTAGTCACTCGTTAATTCGAACCTCGATAATTCGAAAAACTTGACAAATCGAACTAAACGCCGAGTCCCCTGAGAAAACCTCTATAATTAAAAGAAAATACATGTATTCCGGTCCACTCGATGATTCGAAATGTCTGTCGGTTGGATACACTCTACAATTCGAATTTTTATTCCATGAACCTCTATAATTCGAATTTCCTTAAATGCGATTATATGTAAGTTCATATGTATGTACAATATACATACTTATAAAGATTATGTACAATCTAAAACAATACTAATAACGATGGTGGTTAAATATTATCGTAATTTATAAACGTTATCGTACCTTACCTACCTAATCTAAGCTTTTGTCAGGATTACGTCAATTTTTTGAGCAATCTGAAATGAACGAAAAAAGATACAATACAATTTTCAATGCTATCAGTAAATTAGACAACGCTATGGACCAAATTGTGGCTAGCAATTTATCACAAAAAAAAATAACAGATTTATTTAATATGTAATATATAATAAATAAACGTCAATTAATAATTGTAAAATATAATAATATGTATATATGTATAATAAATTAATATCAAAATAAATGTAGTATGTATATACCTACATAGTACATACAATACTTTTTCACCTCTCTTTAATTCGAATTAATTTTTTACTTTTCTATTATTCGAACACTCAGTAAATCGAAAACCTCTACAAATCGAATTTTTAACTCGGTCCCCTGAATTTCGAACTATCGAGTGACTACCGTCTATGAATGTGTACATCACCTGTATAGGTATGTTACAAGTAAATAATAATGTAGAAGCTAAATGTGTAGACTTCAATTTTAATTGACTACGTTTTTAAACGCTAAAAAAAATGTATATTATGAACATACACGTCGCAAGAATACAAAACAGCGGCTTTACGTATTATTATTATTATTGCGATGACGAGGTGAAGATGATAAATGAAAATCGACGACGTTCAACCCGATGACGGGCGCACGCGTATAAAATGACTGCCGTACGTATAGTAATATTACAATATTGTAATATTTAATTGTAAATCATTATTATAAATGTAAAGTCGAGGGACGTCAGCTTCAGCCACGGCCGCGAGCGTTGTGCACATAAACTGTAATATAGTATAAGCGTGTGTTATAAAGCAACTATTCAGCTCTGCTACTATACTATGAGGGGATATACACCCGAGGATATACTGCATGTACGAGACAGTTATTTTATCATAACACTCAATTTCTCTGTAAATTTATGTTTTTGAAAACATTATTTTCCTTCTATATACTTCATTTTAGTACAATATTAAATCATATTATTAATTAGTTATTTATTGTATTGTGTAAACTAACTTATTTATTTTTA